AGGGGCAAAGACAGGCATAGTGTCACCGCCCTGAAAGGGCCCAGACAAGGAGATCAGCCTCCTGACCTCTGAGCTAGGTGTGACTTTCTAAGGAGCCTTCACACTGTCATTGATACCACATTTGATTTTCACAACCATGCCTGGAGGGTAGTTAGGAATTTGTGTTTTAAAAAAATTATTAAAAAAGTCAAGGTATGCATGTTGTGTGGGGGGGTAAGTCCCAGAGAACAATCCAGGGTGGGATCTCTGGAGAACTGACCTGTATCCAGCAACACCAGCCTTTATATATGACATATTGTTCTACATAACTGCAGTCATTTTATACATAAACAATCGCATCTTGTTCCATCATATGTAGTAAGTTTCCTCTGTCTTGAAACACTTCCCAATAAGGCTTTCAACACTTGTCAAGTTTTCCACCTGAGTATTTCGTTATTTTCTGGTTTTGCTATTGTAACTAAGGCACTGAGCACCTTCTTGTGCATAAATCTTTGCATTAATCTGACTTTTCCAGGACAGTGGAATAAAGGCCTTGACCTTTTAAAGGCCTCTGTTGGTGGAGTTGCTTCCTGAAAAATCTGAACCATTTCAGAATCCAAGAGTGAGGATGTGCTATTTTGCAGGTAGGAAAAAGAGAGGCTCAGAGGGGTATTGATCCAAGATGAAAACTGCAATTAGGTGAGTGTGGTGGTGCTACTTCCGAGGCTGAGGCAGGAATCAAAAACTGGAAGACAGCCTTGGAAATTCATGGAGACCTCTTCTCAAAACAAAACAAAAGTTAGAAAAGGGGCTGAGGGTGTAGCTCAGTGGTTGAGTGTTTTCCTAGCATGTGGGTACAATCCCTTGTACCACACACACACACACACATCCACACAAAACAACAATAACACATACACAAATAATCAAAGCAAACAACTCCCCACACCCCCCCTACAATTTTGGTGGGCTGGGTTAGAACAGAGCTGAAGGTAACCAGGCCCAGGCTCCCTCCTTAGGAGTGACCAGTTCCAGATTTTGACACCAGGCCTCACCAATTGTTTTTATAACTATTCAAAGACTTTTCTCCCTCATTTTGCAATAAGAGGGATCCAAGATAAACTCTGGAAAGACCACTTGTTGAGGTGGGAACACAGAAGCATTCTGGCCACTCTAGCCTGTTTCTGGCCATTTTTTCCTAAAGGGGGCCTGGTTTCCACAAGGCCTTCAGGGTCTAGCAAGTGGGGGCAGGGCAGGCTTAAGTCTCGGTTCCTCCTGGGGCTTCCTGCAGGCCCCTTTCACTTCCTGCCTGGCAGCCAAGGGCTGGGGGCTTAAGGTGGGGGTAGGGAAGCCCAGCTGGTGCAGCCATAGAGGAAGGCCTGACCCCTCACCTCGTGCCTCATTAGTGATGGCCCAACATAGCACTGTCCTTAGAAGCTAATGCCATCTTTCTGGGCCTGTCTCTGCATCTGCAAAATGAGACTCCTGAGGACCACCTGGCTCAAAAAGAGGAAATGTGGCATGCAGGCCAGGGTCAGGGAATGCCACCAGCTTGGGGAAAGGAAGAATTGGAGTTCCATAGGAACAAATGCCCAGGGTCACGGGGAGAATCCGGGAGGGCCTTGGAGGAAAAGGTCCTCAGCCTATGCGGTTTCCTCCTGGGACTCTGCAGAGGGCAGCGCTGAGGGGTGGCGGTGACTGATGGTTGTACAGGAGTCCCCCAACCCGGGGAGCCCTGAGCATCTCCTCCACTTTCATAAACTGCAGAGAATCTGGGATCCAACCCCTGACCCAGGACGGTGCAGCGAATCTAGGGCAGGTGAAAGTCTATCTGTACGGCTCCTGCGGTCAGCTTCAGGGGTGGCACTTTGACCACCATCCGCGGACACCGGAAGGGGGTTCAGAACTGGGTGGGTGGGGCCAGAACCAGCCGAACGGCTGGGGCCGGAGTCAAGAAGAGGCTGGGCAGCGGGACTCTCGCTTCAAGGTAGCCGGAAATGGGCGGGGTCAAGGGCCAGGGCCGAGAAAAAAGGGAGGGACTGATGATGGGCGGGCGGGACCAAGACTGCAGGCACCTGCCTGTAGTCCTTGACCTCTGACTACGGAGGGTCAGAGCCTTAGCGTAGAGAACTGCAGCGGGAGTCGGGAGGTTCCCGGATGCGGGCCACTACCCCAAACTTTCGGGCCAGGTGTGGGGGAGGGGCGGAGGACGCTGATGACCTGGGAGCTGTGCCCCAGCAGGAGGGCTGGCGTGGGGAGGGCGCCGGTGACTTGGTGGACGCGCGGAGCGACCTCGCCGAGCCCCGTCCAGTCTGCATTCCCGCGCCGAGGTCCTGATGGCCAGCTCCAGCTCTGCCCGCTCACTGGGAACTTTAGAGGAGCCTTAAGGAGAGTGATGGGGTGGGGGCCGGCCCAGGGATTTCCAGGGACTCCCAAGGCAGGGTGGATTGTGGCCGGGGAGAGGTGCCTGGGAATGCGACACGGGAGGCTGGGACTCCGCTCCCAGCCCCCCAATCCCGCCGCTCTCTCGAGACCTCAGGAGCTCGGGCGCCCCTCCCTCCCTCCCACGGGCAGCTGGAGCCTGAGTCACGAATTGCCTCTCAGGAGACAAAGGCAACCGTGGGCCCTCCCGCCAGACCCACTCCTGGTGCCTGCATTTGCTCTAGCAGGGCGTCCATGGTCCCCAGAGTCCCTGCTTCTTGGGTAAGCCTCCATCACAGAGGAAATGGAAGAAAGTGAGTTGAGGAATGAGGCCCTTCTTGCATCCCAGTGGCATCCACTGTCACAATCTCATCTTCTGCAGTGGGGGTTCTCTTAAGACCATGTTTACCCAGGTGTTTCCCTGTCTAGTGTCCATTGCCCTCTCCCTGCAGCCCTGCCAAAGGGTCACTAGCAGCCCATCTTGCAGATGAGAAAGCTGAGACCTAGAAAGGTGGTACGGCCCTAGTGGAGCAAAAATCCCAACCTGGTCAGTCAGGCTCCACCATGAAGGATGAGCAGCTCTCAGTGTGAGGGTCTGGAGGGGCATTTCAGGAAGAGAACAGCTGCTCAAAAAGCCAGGGGCCTCCTGTGGTGGCCAGGGCCTGTGCACTGGGGGTGTGGGAAACACTTCCCTGGTGCGGTCAGGGCCCTCCAGCTGCTGTCTTTTACCAAACTGTCCAGAAAGTAGGATTGGGACTCAGTGCAGGTCACAGGCCAGATTCTGGCTCTTCCTGGCTGTGTGCCAGTCCTAACAAGTCACTTCCCCTCTCTGGGTCTTGGGTTTCTCTCTAGGAAATCCCAAACCTTCTCCCCCAGGGCTGGGAAGAGCTGGCAGACTGATCACCCACCATTTAAAATGGGGACACTGAGGCCCAGCATGGGCTTTCCCTACTGTCCCTAATGTCAGGACCCCCACTCAGGACTCCCAGTACCCCACAACCAGAGCCAGGCAGGGAGGGAAGAACACGTGTGCCCGAGCACATTCACATGAACACACAGGTGCACATGTGTGTTGATGGTGCAAGGAAGGCCTTCGTGTAGTCACACCAGCCCCCTCCCCACATACTTTCATCCATGAGCACACTCAGACACCCGCACAGTCAAGCTGCCAGCACTGGGAGCTGGGGGTGGGGCAGGTGCCCTTCAGGCGCAGAGACTCAGCTCCTCTGCCCGCCCCGCGGGGCTCACTGCAGATGCCAGGGGTTATTTTAAGCTTGGATCAATGGACGATTTTTGGTGACACAGGCTTAGGGGGGCTGGCAAAAGAGACAAGGGGCAGGTGCCCTTAAGTTGTGCCATGATCCCTGAGTCCAGGGCAAAGGGGTCACTCCTCAGTTGGGCTGCACCATCTCTAGATCCCCTTGCTTGGCACATGGCCTGGCACCTGGGGGGGGTAGCATCAGCTTCCTGCAGGTTCTGCCTTAAGGATAGTGATGGGGTGGGGGCTGGCCCAGGGATTTCCTGGGACTCCCAAGGCAGGGTAGGTTGTGAACGGGGGAGAGGTGCCTGGGAATGTGATGGGAGGCTGAGACTCCGCTCCCAGCCCCCCAAGAACTCTGCCAGTCAACTAGGCAATGTCTTTCGGGTTTGACCTTCCTGCTCCCCCCTCACTCCCCAAGGCACTGAAGAGGGAGGGCACTAAGTGCCTAGCACAGACCTGGTTGGATGTGGGTACCTGTAGTTGATGACTGACCACAGAATCCAGAGAATCAGATTAGGATGGGGAGAAAGCTGTGTGTTTGTGTGTTGGGGTGGGGTCAGACTTCAGTCCCTGCGTGGCTGGAGGGCAGGAATCCAGCTCCTTCATCAGACAAATGGCTGTCACTATATACAGATATTTGCAGAACCTGATCAGAATCAACATGGGGTGGATACTGAGAAGATCCAGTGTTAGGACAATGGGGGCAAGAGGGATCCATGAGGTGACAGGGAGAGCCTTGGGATATTTTCTCTGGACCCAACAGGGTCACCCTTCTTAGAAAGACCCAAAGTTCCAAGGGGCAGAGACAAGCCTCTTCAAACCCAGTGCCCAGCAATGCGGGAGCAGGGGCAGCATTGTCCCCAGAGCTTCTGCAACCTGGAGGGCAGCTTGGTAGCATGTGGCAGGAGCGTTAATACAGAGCAATTAGTGCCACTGTTCCCATTTCTAGGAAAACCCTGTAAGAAAAGGATGCTCTAGAAAGCACAGCTACGAAGTTCTGAACAGAATAACAAAAAGTTGAAGGACAGTAAAGAGCAAACTAAAAAGCAGTTACAAAATAGGATGTAAAGTGTGATATATTTTAGCTGTTTTTCTTGTGATGGGATTAAAGCAGGTTTGCTTCATTTCTTGCTCCTCTGTTTTGTTTCTTCTAAAATTATAATAAGGAAAGTCTTAATGAGGGTAGGGTCTCTAGGGCTGAATAGGATGTGTGTGGTGTGGAGGGAGGGGGCAGTTGTCTTCAGCCTGGGCAGAAGGAGACATTCTGAGCACAGAATGCCTTAGCCCACTAATACCTGAAATTAGCCTGTCAGACCCTCATCTCAGGCAGCAGAAGGATGATCCTCCTTAAAATGTAAATCCTTCCTCCTCTTCCCCACCTTCTTCACTTTCATAAGCTGATCCTGGCCATGAAGGGAGATGGAAAGGAGAGCAGAATGGACCCTCAGATGCCCAAATTCTTCATCTTACTGAAACAAGAGGGTGGAGACATTTCATCCCGCATTCAGTCATTCAGCAAATACTGACAGAGGCCTGAGTTGTGTGGGGCACACAGGGTGAGTTGCACACCCAGTCCTTGCCCTCTCTGTGTTTCAGAATGTCTTCCAGGAAGAATTGTTTTTGTTTTTGTTGTTTTGCTTTTGAGGCTGGGTCCCCTTCCTGACGCTTCCCCCTCCATCCTTCCCCTGGCCTGGGAAAGGGCCTGAGAGTCCTACTGGAGTTGCCAGGTTCCACTGGCTCTGACTCCCAGTGGGCCCAGCCCTCCTCTCCCAAGGCAGAGGTTGGCCCAGGGTCCTCCCCATCCCACCTCGGAAGCGGGAAGACCACAGGAGGACTCTAGGCAGGCCATCCCCAACACTGAGGAACCCAGCCAAGCATCCAGCAGGTCCTGGAACCGGGGCCACGGAGGAGACCCAGACGTGCCCCTCCGCCGCAGTTCCGCTAGGATTTTCCTTCCCCTTTTATTGAGGGCGGGGGGGGGGGATCAAGGCTTACAGAGGGGAAGGGACCTTCTCCTTCTTCCTGTCACAATTAGAACTGACGGAGGGGGACCGAAAGGAGGCGGTGTCGTGCACCGACCCTCCCGGGGCTCTTCAGGGCTGCTCTGATCTCTGCCTCAGTCCGCGCACCTGTAAAATCGAGTCGGCGGTCGCGGGCGCGATGTCCGAGGTAACAGTCCTGGGAGCCTTAAGCTGAGCCTCCTCGGGCACCCGAATATCTGAGGAATATTTGGGGGAGGTCTTGGGAAGGGGCCCGGTGGGAGCCCGGGTGCGCGG